CAGCCACAGCCAACTGGGCTGGCAGGCGGCACAGCTGTGCTCCGAGAGCGAAGGAGGGTGGGGTCCCCAAGAGTGGGAGAGTTCTATAGGAAACTGAAAAAGGTGTCAGCCAGGAATCCTGAGGGTTCCTGAGCAGCTGGGACCCCTAAGCAATGGGCCACCAAGGACGGTGTAGAGCAGCTGCAGGGGAAGAGCCATTTCCTAGGCAAATCATCCCAGAGCAGAGATCAGAAAAAGGAGCTTTGTGCTTGGGGACATGTGAACTGCAGACACAGGCTGTACTTGCGCCACCACTCCTCAGCCCCGGGTACTTGCACCCAGTAGCCAACAGGCACGTCACTTTTGAAACTTTTTTTTAATATGACAGAGAGTGTTTGGAGAAATCCCACAAATTCCCCGCCCCTTCCCCCCAAAAAGGATGTGTTTGCCTCAACTTGCTCTTGGAGAGGGGAAAAGGAGGGGTGGGGGTATCTTGTATGGATTCAATTAATTATTTCTTCTCTCATCTCTGTCAAAATAAATGTCAAACATATCCAGATGTGCATTTGTCTATCTTCATGTGTGTTTTTATAAGGAGAACAGGAGACAAGGATTCTTGTCTTAACTTTGAACAAAGAGACGAACTCATACTCAGAATGACTGGCTTCTCCAGTTCCTTTAATCTGGAACAACGCTTTTCCTCCAGATGAATCCTGGCTCTGCAGCCAACCTACAGAACTCCTCCAGACCCGGCTCCTGTTCTATACAGTCAACACCCAGGTCCCTCAGAGCCCTGCTGCACCACGAGTCTTTGATATATCAAGGAGAGAGAAAAAAAATCCCACATGGATGACTGTGCTTCGTCACTTCTCCCAGAGGCACATGTGCACAAATCAAATCAAAATATAAATCATCACACCCAGTTATGAGCCTCATACACGGTTTCTTTTAATAAAATATGCAAATATTTTGCAGTAAATTGATTTCCCAGTTTCATTCTCTTATCTCCATATTTATTATTCATGATTCTTCCTCTCCTCACTTAAAGCATAGGGGGGGATAAATTTAGAATGTACAGTTTGCTTGCTTTCTTATAGTTATTATTAGCACAATGTTATACTCCCAGGAATAAAAGATACATGTAAACATTACTTTCAGTCTCAACTGGAGCTAAGAACACATGCAAGAAAGTCTTCAATGATCTAAATCCACGCCCTTGAGCTTCCTAGAACACTTTCATACAGGTGCGACTTCATGAGGGTGATGAGGAGGGTGATGAGGGTGGTTTCAATGGACCGCATGGACAGCTTTCAACTCATGAAATACGAACACATTGTGTCTTGACTCAGAATTTGGTGAAAGAAAAAAATCTGCTGAAGACGTTTGCTTGACTAGAGGATGCTGGAAAAAAAGAGTATCTGAGGGACATTCACTGTGTGCCAGATACTAAGTTCCACAACACTGTCTCATTGAAAGCGGGGAAATCCAAATGGAAACTGCAGCCATTATTCACACCACTTGAAGGACACACAGACGCCCTCAGACCTACAACACTGCTGTGTCCTGACAAACCCATCCTAAGTGGAAAACGCATGCATGCACCCACCCTACAGCACACCCCGCCTCAGCCCCACACACATGCAGAGGGCCAGTGGTTTTCCTTCACAATCACGGGCATACAGCAGCTGCGGCTCACTGCTGCTGCCCACCATCACCAGGGGGGACAGAACCACATATCATTAGTCCAGGAAAAGATCAAAACTCAAAATTCCAAGTACGATTTCTACTGAGAGTGTATGACTTTCACTTCATTGTAAAGTCAAAAAATTGTAAATTGAACTAACTACATGGTGAATGGTTTGTGATCTGTAGTGATTCTTCCTAACGCCAACTACCCTCTTCTCTCTTCTGAGCAGCGCCCACCCTCAGGAGCTGGCACACTCTTCTCCACACTCTCCTCTCTTGGAAATAGTGCTCTGATTGTGACTCTACATCTATGCCTGCCTTCCCAGGCTGCAGCACCCACAGCTTCCAGGGTGGGTAACTCACCCATCGCTGCCCGTCTAGAGGGCACCACCCTCTGGGTCCAGTCTTTTCTGACTTCCCCCACTTTTGGGCTCAAGGGCTTTCAGGGCTAAGCAGAGGAAAAGATCTTGTCACAAGGCAATAACAGCACACCATGAGATTTATTTGGGTGATACTCTGACAGGCTTGCTCACAGTATGACACTGTCTAGGGGCCACCAGGTAGTAGGGTGGAGAAGGGCATGGCAACTCCTGGGAAGGGAGGGCTTGGAGGGGTGCTTGCTGTCTAGGCAACGCTGCTCAGCAGCCCAGGGGGATTCTCTAAGTCAGAGAGCTTCGAAGGAAACAGTAGCTTAGGGACTTCCTAGCACAGGATTTACCTTACCTATGGCTAGAAGATGGTAGGCACAGTTTCACAGGCATACAAATAAAGCCCAGCAACAAATGAATAAAAATTTGCTTATTTGGACTGTTTTAAAAAAATGGAGTGTCTTCAAATTGGAATCTGGTGCAGGGGAGGCTTGTGAGTAACCACGTGGATGTGCCTGGGCTTCTTTCCCTATCGGCAGAACTGCCTCAAAGGAGCAAGGTCAAATGTGTAAGCATTTATTGCCTCTTCTTACATTATATTTGTTCATGTTTCATTGACCCAAACAAATCATAGGGCCCAGACCAGAGTCAATAAGGAGGGGTGCTGAACACAGAACCTGGAGGTATAACCCACCTGCGGCCATTACTGCTACATTCTATCACAAAACCTAGGCTGCAGCCACAAGAAAAATGTTTTAAATGGTGTCAGCTTTTGTGTCTGTCAGGAGAAGCCATTTCAGCCTAGACACTCTTCAGGAACTTACTCTTTATCTGGTAAACAGAGCCCTCCCCACAAAGCAGATACTGACAAAAGGACTTCGGGGCAGTAGACTTCTTGGAAGGCAAGCCCAGGAGGCACAAGAGACTGGAAATGAGACAGGACATGAGAAACCCAATAAGGCAGGGGCTATGGAGTGGGAAGCTGGAGCTCAGTCCTGCTGGGACTTCTGAGAAACCATGTGCACAGGCCACAGACTTCTCCATAAGAGGATGAGGAGGCTGGAGCACTGATCCACCATGGACTGAGCAATTTCTGGTGATGGGGAAATGCTAAGCAGAGAAAAGAGCCTCAGGTACTGAGGCAGGAAGCTGTCCATGAGCTGAGTCCACCAGCTGCAAGTGACCCAGTAGCTGAGGGAGAATGTGGATTGGCACCTGAGACATAGAAATCGTCTCCAGCACCAAATACAAGTGCAGCTCAGTCCCCCACCCACCCACACACAGCTCAAGAGCAGAGGGAGAGAGGACCAAATGATCTAGGGAATGGTTGACCATCTGTAGGTGTTCTCCTGAGCAGAACAGAGAGGACAAACTAATAGGGTCACCAGCAAGAGAGAATTAGTACAGAAAATAATACAGAGACAAAGACATTTTTTTTTTCAAATAGAAATAGGGCCCAATTCCAGAAACTGATCTCCTTCTGCGAATTCTCATTGTGGTACAAAAACTGCCTGGAACTCAGAAAGGCCTTGCCTCTCTCTTGATAAGAATGGAACAGAAAATTGTTGTGATTCTTTGTAGTAGCTACAGTTGGTTATGGAGTTCTGCATAATGATGCTTAAGTCAACTGTGTAGATAACTATACATACCATATTTCATGGAGGCTAAACAGCACATTTTTCACATTAAAAATTCCTGAAACATGGATGCCTTTTATTGAGAAATAAATTTGGAGAACACAGAATCTCTAAAGGAAAAATATCTGTTAAAATACAGAGCAAACAACTCATGAATAACTTATGAGCTGGACAAAGGAGCCTAAGGAACAGAAAAGGGTCAAATGTAAGGGTGCATTCAACAGCCCTTAAATTACTTTTTAAGTACTCTAAGAAGACAGTGAAACAGGAACAAGACCTCAATAGAAAGAGACTATTAAATCGTCAGTCTAGAGGCTAAAATTTGGTTGGACCATGACCCTCTGACACAATCACTGGATCAATCACCCAACCACCAGAGACACTGATGTGATCTGAAACCTTAATACCAGCCCAGAACCCCAATCAGAAAACACAATCTTGCTCAATATTTCCCAGTCTCAGGGCAAATCCAGCCCCTCTGGATCATACATATCCCATTTAATTATGCACCGTAATAAAACTCTGACATTAAGCTCAGGTGGTGCATCTCCCTCCTGATCTACACCCTGCTGAGAGCTGGTATTTTCACCTTTCACTTTCCAAGACAGTTCTTCCTCTCTTCAATAATGCTTGACTCACAGATTCTTTTCTGCAATGGATTCAAGAGCCTGGAAGTTCTGAGTGAAGGTCTCCTCCAGATGACCTCCAGTACCCTTATGGTGACATAACTGGCAGAATTTTTTCTTCCTTGGTAATAGATAAACTATGAGTATCCTTTAGTATTTCATATATGGTGACCTATGGAAGCTCTCATTTCAGAGTGTGTGTTCAACAGGCTGGAATAATCTTTCAATGACTATTTAAAGCCCCAAACTAAAGGACTTTTCCAAGTTATTTTTACAGAGATGCCTAAATCAGGTGGTCTCCACTTTCCTTTTCCATTCAAGATCTTGAGGCTCCAAGGAGACCCAAGAGGTCTCCAGCCCTCCTTACCAGGGCTTTGATTTTAAGGCTCTTACTTCTGTTAGTTGCACATGCTGTTATTATTCAAGAAACTCACTTTTCAAACACAAAAGGACTTATATCAGAAAGATCAAATGCTAAGAAATCTTTAAAAAAAAAAAAAAAAAAAAGGAGGAACAATGATAGAACCCAAGCAGAAGATCGCCATTAAAACTGAGTTCTAGAATAAACACCAGAAAGCCAGAACAATTCAGATTAAACAAGCTGGAGGTTCATTTCCATGTCCAGTGAAAGAAGACCAGAGGGTGGCAATTCCAGGCTGTAAAGGCAGTTCTAGAGTCATCCAGGCTCCTCCTAGCTTTCTTACCCAAACTCCGGGCGCCTCGTTTTCACCCTCGGCGTTATCTCCTAGTCCAAGATGGCTGCTGGAGCTTCTGCCACCTCACCTTCCCAAACCGAAGAGAGAAGAAAGACTGCTGGACAAGACAGCGCGCCTTCCCCGCCTTTTAAGAAGACCCCACAGAAGCTCCGCCCAGCAACTTCCGCCTGCATCCCATTGGCCAGCACTCTGTCACATGACTGACTGAAGGCGCAAGGGAGCCTGGGAATGTGGCATTGGCAGGTGGCAACTTTGCAGCCGGTAGAAGAGGGTTAGAGGGAAGCTGGGCTCGAGCGTGGGACAGGATAGAAACCCAGTCCGGGATGATTTTCTCAGGCTTACCGAGAGCGGGGGGCCGGGAGTTTCACCAACCCCCGGGGCGATCACGGAACCCCTCAGCGAGGTGCCCTGGCCGCATGCAACGGACCCAGAGGGAGGCCGGGGTCAGGGTTCTGGTCCTATGGACGCAGCAGGCCTCCTTCCACAGCTGCAAGTGAGGACCGTAGGCCCCGTCTCCACGATAGGAGAGCGGCCCGAGGTGGCAAGCGCAAAGCTGTCGAAAGGCGCTCCGCTTTCTTCTCTGGACATGAACACGGGCTCCCGCCCCGTGGCCTGGCCTCGCACGCCCATTAGCACACTCGTGGCTGCGGGAGGCGAGTAGGCCTGGTTATTAATGCACTTTCCAGGCGGGAGTTCCAGAGTGGGCCCTTTTCATGGTCACTGGTGGTCTCTGCGTCCCACCAGCTGTGCAGGAATCGGGCCACTGCAAAATGTTCTTAAAAGAGGAAAATTACCCAGAAAGCGTCTCCCAAAGAAAAGTGGGCTTTCAAAAAGTTTGTCGCGCGTTGCAAAGCATTATCTTTAAGTCCTCCAGCTAGGCTAAAAGCCTATCCCATTCCTCCCTGGGATTTCTAGTGAATTAATAATGCCACTGATGAATATTCAAAAGTAGGCAGCTATTGTGCCTCCAAGCACATAATTAATTATTCATTACACATTTTTATTCACTGAATTAAAAAACACAGGGTGCTCTGGGAAATGAAGTGTACTTCACTGCAGGGGCATGAAATTCCACACTGCCCCTTTAAGGACTATTATTCTCTATTTGTGGTTACCAAGCAACATAAATGCTGGGCAATTAGATCATGGGTTGTCCCTGAAGACTGATGGGATAATAAGCAGTAGTTAAGTATTAAGTTGACCCAGTGAAGGTCCCATATGAATAAACCTGGGTAGGACCACAGCTGGTGTCTTTTAAATGAAACTTTTACATTAATACCATACAAAGGTGATTTTGTTCCAGGAACACGTGGTTGCAAAACTCGCTCGTCCTCAAACCCTGCACGGGTTGAGCGTGTCATCTCTCTGACACTGCTACACTTGCAAAGTTGTGCAGGGAAGTGCTGCCCACTGCCAATGGGCCAGTGACTGACCTCCAGGGGCTGACCCATTTGGGAAGTCACATTCAGCCTGGTTGAATCAGTTGAGGGACTTGCAAATAGAGTGCAGGTGAAAGTGAGGAGAACTACGTTTCTCTCTGGGAGGAGCAGAAGTCAGAGTGAAGCCCAGCCCTGACAGCAAAGAACCGCCCAGGAAGGCACTGGCGGCTCCCTGCTCAAGGGCACTCACTCCTGGATTTCGGCTACGGAAGGGTCTCCCTGTCCTTGACCCCAAGGCAGAGTCCCAAGTAGGCCTTAGGGGAGCTGAAGCTCCAGCCCTCTGCAGCTGCCTCTCTCCTAGACTCCAACCCCCTCAGGGACTGAATGCAGATCCAAGTCATGTCTGTGTCTTCAGAGAACAGCACATAGAAAGCAGTAGACAAATGATTATTGAAAAGCATTAAGGGTTTGGGGTGCTTTTCTTACTAGTTGCTGTTTGATTGTAAAGCAGAGCTTGGGCTAATGATTGCAGTTAGCTGTTTCTTTATGTACTCCATTGTTTGCAAATCTCTCGGTGCTTTTCTTAAATGTTTATAAGTGCTGCGAGCAGAGATGCCATACATGTACAGGATGTGCATGGCGGGGGGGGGGGGGGGGGGGGGGGGGTGCCTGTCCAGGGGGGTGAGTAGATCCTGAAATCCAGCCTGTGGTCCAATCATGCACCTCTCCAGGGGAACACGTTTTTTCAATTCTTACAAAGATATTGAATGGGCTGAGAAGGGCCCTGGCTGCAGTTGGAGTGTGGATGTAGCAAAAGAGTCAATGGCTGTGAGGGAGTGGAACCCCAGGTCCTGCTGAGGAAGAAAAACTGAGCAATCAGGATAAGCAGAGGCCTCAGCCGGGGAGATTATAGGCTTCACTAGTGTAGTGTGAGAGAGAAAGGTCATCAGGTAGAGCCCGCTGTCTCTCCTCTCAGTCCCTAGTGTGTGACTGTGTACAGCTCAAGGACAAGCCAGAAGCCCACAGATTATTCTCACTGCTGATTGAGGGATGTGAAGAGACAGCATGGGATGCTGGCAGTGAGAACTGCTTAGAGAGAAACTGGGCCATTCTTATTAGTTGAGTCTCAAAGCAGCCCTGTGCGATGTACATCCTCACTTGCAGGTGGGGAGACTGGGGCTTGGAGAGTTTAAGTAACCAACCCATCATCCCCAGAGCTGGAGAGACAGGGGTTTCCACCCAGTTGGGCTGTGTATCCCGGATCTTAACCATGCTGATACTGAAATAATTAACACTCAGTAGGATATTAGAATAGGCAGCAGCGTTGGGCCAGAGCAAGGACTTGGAGGCCCCTGCTGGCCAGAGTTAACCCCTCAGCCACTGGATTATTGGGTGGCCAAGGTAGTGGAAGAGGGTCCGCCAGGTACCAGGCAGCAGCTGTCTGCCAACTGGGATGCAAACATTTCTGTGTTTAACAAGTGGGACAACCATGCATGTGTCCACCTGTCCAGTGTCAGCCCACCCCACAGGGTCCCATGATTCTGGAGAGAAGCAGAAGGGGGGTGGCCAGGAGCAGAGTCCTGAGCAGGGGTTGGAGTCTGGCTTTAACAGGTACAGATTAGGCAACAAGAGTCAGCTGGCCTGGGAAACTTCAGCGAGAGCTGGCTGGTACCTCCTGCTCAGATGAGGGAGTAGACTCGCTGATGCGGATTTGAGGAATGGAAGCCAAGGCTGATGATGGAGAGGCCAGGTCCAGGACCAGGCAGAGGCAGAGCCAGCACCCTTGGACACACCTCCTGTCTCCCCACTGGCAAAGCACAGGCTTTGAGCTAGAAAATCTCCCAGGAATGCTCCAACAATATTTTATGATTCTATATTTCTAACAAATGCAAATGCTATTGAAGGAAAAGAAAAAATAAAAACATCTACACTTTCTGCCATTGAGGTTTTGTGTTGTTGGATTTAAAAAAAAAAAAAAAGCTCAAAATGTCCTGTGATCCCCACTGGTGACAGGAGATGATGGTTTTATTGTAGTTGTGGATCATTAATTTTGTAGACAAAAATGTGAAAACACAGCTTATCTCTGTCTGCAGACACTTTGCTATGCCAGAGCCTGAAACAGTTCTCAGTCGAAGATAAAGAACTGCTGTCTAGAGTTTTGTGATATAAAGCAGGGAAGACAGTCCCCCCAGAGCAAGTGGGCTGCATGTTAGACACGAGAGATACAGCTGCAGGGTCTCTAGGTAAGGACGGCAGAGTGTCAAGCAGTAGCAGGGACAGAGGTTGAAGAAGCCACAGGAGAGGCTGGAAAAACGCCCCTCTCTGCTGCACTTCCACCAAACCCTCCCCTCCTACCCGGTCCTGTGCAGCCTCTCAGCGCTGCTGTTGGGCCACTGTCACCACAGCTTCCTTCTTCCCTGTGCACGTTTTCTGGAGAGTAAAGTTATTTGGTTTTGGTTTTGTTCTCCGAACTTCCAGAAAAGTGCCCGAGTTCTGAATGCTCGATCAAGTTGTGATAAATGAAAGACTAGATGGAGGAAGAGATGAATTCTTTGTAGCTTTCTCTCTCTGTTCTCAAGGCTCAGCATTATGCAAATATAGGGGCTTTACTGGAAGGTTCCTTGTCATACTGTCCTCCAGGTCTTTCTATGCCTGCATCTTTACCTCTGAGCCCTTAGAAGTCAATGCCAGCAGAACTTTCCGGGATAACAGAGTGAGGCGCAATGATAAGAACGGATGAAATTGTCAAAAACAGCCATTGCAGAGATCTGTAAATCAACCCAAGCTGCACACCCAGTTGAGAACTGGTTATTTATGATGAACTCCCAATGAGGACAATGAAAGTATGGGACACTCTCTCCTGTGGCTCCTCCCACCCACACCCACACCCACCCCCACCCCCCATCCCCGCCAAGGTCTGTTCTCCCAATGTGAGGCAGGTCATGAAAACCAGGAGCTTTGATGCCAGAGAAGCCTGGTTGATTTGGGAGTGGAGCATTAAGACCCCCCACACCCAGTGGCCTTGTCAGTAACAGTCACATTCTCCCTAGTGAATGATCAGGGAACAGCATCGGTTAAAGCAGCCTGAGGTTGTGGTTCTGGTTGGGACAAGTGAGACCAGCAAACTAGCCAGAGGTTGAGCAGGGAGATGTGGGAAATGAGGCAGCAACAGGGAGACTTGAAAAGCTCTCAGCACATCCAGGCAGGAGACCCGAGAGGGCCAGGCTCTTGGGACATTGCAGGCTGACTGTGACCCCACATGCGTGCACTGAGGAGCTATGGAAGAAAAGGCCAGAATAAACATTAAAACTTGACAAAACATTCTTCCACCTGTACACACTGACCTCTCAGTCGCTGAAGGAAGCCTTACTTGCTCAGGATGTTGGAACACATGGACCAATCGCTGGCTGGCCAGCAGAATGGAGGACACAGGGGCAAGCCCTGGGGAACTAGCCTTCAAAACAAAACTAATGGGAATCCTTTTGAACTGAGTGGAGACATCTGCACCAGGAGGAGCTTGAATGAAATAGGACCCACTTCTACCCCATCCCTGGCCCACTTGACCCTTCAGCTGCCACAAGACCAACCCAGCAGGCTGTGCAGACAGATGTCCTTTCTTTATTTAATGGGAAGGGTCAGGGCAGTTTAACAATGAGAATTCCAAGTCAGAAAGAGCAAAGGGTAAGGTTGAAAGATTTGGGGATCTCCTTTAGACTTGC